AAGGAGGCCACTTAAGACGGGCACAGTCATCTGTCTTGTTGCAGAAGCATGGGTATTATTTTATTAATTTAAGAAGGGGGGATTGTCAGAGCCTGTATATGGAAGTTCATTCCATCTTGCCACCAGTTCAGAGAGCTCAAAATCACTCCTATTTTCTTTAAGATATTAGCTTAATGGCTACAGGATGCCTTGGCTTAGGTAGTGAATGGCTCCTATCTAAATAATAGACTTGGGCCCAGGCGAATGTACACTTACCCTGAAAGCTAGGTGATATGTGCACCCATGAAGCACCTGAAAGCCAAGTAGTATGTGCAGCTACTAAGTGTCTTTAGGATTAAGGGAAGTAATTGCTATTTGCCTTTATACATGGTGATAGAAGTCTTCTGGCATTGTCTACACCTTTGGTTGATTACTTAAGATGGTGGATGAGTAAACTGAAGTACATTCAATATGGACTGAAAATGTCATCTTCCCACACACACACACACACACACACACACACACACACACACACACACACACACACACACACGGCATTGTGCCATTCAATCCAACTGTGTTTCAGCTGCTCATATATTTTATTTTTCATACATTTTGAGTCTAGAGTGGGAAAAATATTGTTGAAGATCTTTCTAGTAAAATGTCTACAATGGAGAAACCAGAGCAGGTTGTGATTTCCAGAGCCCCGAGAACTGAATTTGAACATGTGTTATTTCACAACTTATTTAAGCATGGCCACACTTCTAGAGACAGAATATGTCCAAGATAGAGGATGTTAAATCTGCATAGTATATTAGCATTCATTAAGAATGAGTCTCAGATAAACTGAGTATTGTGCCTTTAATTAGAGGTAACTCTTAACACACAGGCTTGTAAATGTATATACGCCATATGCATTAATGTGAGAATTTAACATGAAAATATACTTCTTTTAGGATTGGCTCAAGAATCTGATTGCTATAATTTCATTATAGCAAGAGATGTGAGGGTTAGTGTGATTGTCACCCTCACAGACTCTGGAGTTACCTAGGAGACACAGCTCTAGAAACACTTGTTATGGATTACTTAGATTAAATTAGCTTCGGGCATACCTGGAAGGGGTTATTTTAAGTAGTACAACTGAGGTATGAAGACCTACCTTGAGAGAAGGTGGCCTTATTCTGTGGGCCTAGATCCTGGACTGCATACAAGGAGAAATCTGTCTGAACATGGGCATTCATGGTTCCCCAGGCTCCTGCCACCAGGACCCCCTGCTGTGATGGCCTCTATTGAACTGTGATCCAAAATGACCTTTCTCTCTTAAGTTGTCTTCTTCAAAGTATTTTATCACAGTAACAGGAAAAGTAACTAAGACAAGTGGCATGAGGATCTTATGACCAAAATGTTAATGAGATCGAGCATCTCCTCAGAGATTTATTGGAGAACCTTTGGCTGGAATGCATGCCACTCAAACACGAGAAGGACGTTGTTAAAGGGAACCAGAGGTTTGGAATCTCCATGGGCCCTGCATGTTCCTATGGAGAGTATAAGAAAGGATCAAGCTATTTAGATAGTTTGGTTAGTTGGCCGCATATTATAGTCCTTACCTGGGTCACTTTTCATTTTTAATTCATACCTGGTGTCTAGAGTCATGAAATAAATATAAATAAATATTAAAGGGAGTTGGATGATGTAATTTGAAATGGAAGTGATTACTCGGACAATAGTTTTCCATACATCTATGCCTCTATCATTCCTCCCATGACAACAATGTACATTTGTTTAAAGAAGTGTACTGTTTCTCATACCCAGAAAAAAAATCAGCATATTTACAATCTAATTCACAATTTGAAACATTTCACCATTAAACTGCTTCTCTCACCCTTCTTGAATTGATTTGAATTCTGTGTTTTAAAAACCGCTTACTGTGTTGTGCTGTGCTGAGTCTGCCTGGCAGCCTGAGAACCATTGATCAGAATGTGTTTAGATTTGACTGCTTTCCCAATTATGAATTGTAATTACACAGGATGTAAACACAAGTTTAAGTGGTTGTGAAATTGCTCCAATATTTGTTACACTATTAATTTAATAAACTGAATATTTAGCGGGGTCTTCATAATTATGTATCAGTGGACAGAAATGTTTTTCACAAACCTTGTCACACTAGATTGGAAGCAATCCCCCAACCCCCAACACCTTTCTGAAGAGAGAGAAAAAGAGATGGAGAGTGATGACACTAATCTCTTTGCCTCTAGGTGTTTATCACACCAAGAAAGCCAAAACAATTACTCAGGGCTTCATGGGGTAAATAGCAGAATGCTATTTCCTTGGAGGATGCTTTCTTCCAGTGTTTCTCATACACAGAAGGAAGACGGTTTCTCACCAGGAGCAGCCCTCCTTAGGAGTGCAAATGCAAACAAACAGAAATGACATTATGTTGCTTGCCCGGGGACAAAAAAAAAATGTCACCTGTTCTTAACAGGACTTCAGGTGTGTGCTTTTCTGTCACTTTCTTTTATTCGATTAGGATGGTTGCCTTGTGTAACAGACAAGCTCTACCATGATACCTTCAGCAAGGTATCAGAATGCATCTTTGGTATGTGATGTCTTTAGGGGACGTGACACATTCTTGTCATACATGAATTTCCATTTCTATTCACATAGAGGTAAGAAATGTAGTAATTATGTTTTACTCTTTCCAGTGAGGTTTTTTTTTTCAATGTGGAATTTATAATTCTAATTAAATAATAGTTCGAATTACACCTCTGGAAAGAAATGGGGCTATGTTAAGAAAATGGGGTTATTTTTACTTATGAGCCTCTGCAGTTTGCCTCAGCCAGCCTCACTAAATCTTTAGTGTTAATATAATTGGATTTTGTAGAATAATGACCCATTTTATCAGGTATCATTTTGAGTTAATAAAAACATTATCTAATTTTAAATGTTACTACTCCATTTTAATTCATCAATCAATTAAAGGCAGCTTTTGGGTGATGGAAACAGGCTGATAGGAGTTACTAAAGGCTCAAATGCTTTAAAACAGCCCTTAAAATTATTTAAGTCTCCTTGTGGAGTTATTTAAGAACTCCCTCGAAAAATTTAGTAAGGGCGCTGTTTTCTTCTACAACGGACCTCAAGTAACTGCATATTAGTTGATACTAACTTGTCTTTCACAGATGTTATTTTCCCAGTTCTAGTTAAATGCAATAGTGTGGTGTGTGCAAGGGACATGCCTGTGTCTTCTTTCCTCGGTTCTGAAGTAGCATCATGAAGATGGTTGCCTGTGAGTCACACCACACCAGGTGTTAAGAAGAGCAGAAGTTCTCTGTGTTCCGGAGACATTTTGGGGACAATTCAAAATATGGAAATAGGCATGCTTATTTTTTTTTTCTGACATCATCATGTGTTTGTGTGCAGTTTATGTGAGGAGTTTGTTGGCATCCATTTTGGGTAACTGAAAGGGACAAAAGCTACTTATAATGTAAGAAAGTAAAAATATAGTTTAAATAAAAAGCACTCTATGTGGAAATACTCAAAACTTTCAGAACATTGTGTAAAATTAGTGTTCAATGTTTCTTTAAAACAACAGTGAGAGACTGGGAGAGGAGGCTCAGTGGCTAAGAGCACTGGTTGCTTGTGCACAGGACCTGGGTTCAATTCCCAGCATCCACATGGCAGCTCACAACTATATCTAACTCTAGTTCTAGGGGATGACATGCCCTCTCCTGACCTCTGGGCCACCAGTGTGCATGTGCAGGGACATAAGAGAGCAAAACATCCATATATAAGAAACAAACAAAGAACAAATAAATAACATTAATTACAATCCGGTGTTGATCTCTTAAGACAAAGAATTGTTCATAGTTACACTTTTGTGTCAAAATCCTTCTGGTGTTGCTTATTTGCTTCTTATATTTATATATAATAAAGGCTCCCATTTGGGTTTCTTTTGAAAAGTCTTCCTTTTATAACCTGGTTGCTCATGTTGTTCCAACTCATGGCTAAGTAGATATCATGACCTCCTTATCAATAAAGGATGGGAGTCAAAGTGGGAAGGAAAGAACCCACTTTCAGATTTCTGAAGCTGAAATTTTAAATTGTACTAGATGTTAAATAAACACAGTTTTATATGTTAAGAAATTAACATGTAACCCTAAGCTCCCTAGTGCCCTGTTCAATCTTATATACATAGAAACTATTAAATAGATATTTTGCCTAGAAATAAACAACAAGTGAAGTACAACACCATTTCAAATTAACATCCCACTTTAGAATATGGGGTTTTTATATTCCCTTATTACTGGATTATTCATGGTGGGGGATGAAGGAGATGAAAGTAAAGACTTGATTTCAGGGTTTCTAACTAAAGATTCTTAGACTCCAGTAAAGTCATAGGTTGAGGAAAGTGCGATGGAACATACCAGAAATTACTCTTTGTCTTCTTCTAACCCCGTGCTCAAGGGTGCGCACTGCCTTTGTGCTGACTGCCTTCAGGATCCACACTGTCCTGAGGGTAGACTGGGTAACTGGGCCAAACGTAGAGGAGGGTAAAAGTGGCCCTTAGGCTGGGTGATAAGTTATTCTCACTTTGTGGTAAGTAACATATATTACTTAATTTGCTGTGAACAGCTGTCATTTTGCCTTCCCCACCCCTTTTGAGTTTTATACACATCAATAGTGAGAGGAACGCTGTTCCTACTTTGTAGGACAGTTGGCAGATGAACTCATGTGATAGTTGGCTAGCCCACCTTAAAGAACCTTCTAGGAAACAAAGCAAAAGTTTGAACCTCAAATGTAGGCATGACTTAGTACCTCAGCCCTATTTGCTTCAGCCCTGTCTCAGGATAGAATATTCCAACTTGAAAGAATTCTAGAAAGCAGCAGAGAAAATCCCGTAGGCTGACATTTCTTCAAAAGAACTGACTTTTTAAAGAACTCAAGAATCCAGATTAAAAAGAACATTTCATTTACGTTTGTTATATACCTAAAAGTGAATTTTTATTAAAAGTAGATCACATTACTCCAAGAAATTCAAAGAACTATATCTAAACACACTGAATGCAAGATATTCCTCATCAATTTCAATTCTTATAGCCTCGTAAAGATAAAATGCAGATGAATTGATTGAAATCAGGCCCTCATTAAATTTCAGAATTAGTTTTTGGAATCCCTCAGATTGAACTGTGCAGCGTCTGACTCCTGATCACTGTGACAATGCTGTGAGTGCATAGTGATAAAGTGCACGCTGCCGGAAATAACACAGTCTGCCTTTGGTTTGTGCTAATAAACTATAAGACAACTTAAACTCCATCTTAATATAAGAAATCCACCTCATTAGAAGTAATCTCACACTCTGTGTGCTACCAGAATTTTCATGTGTATTCTTTGGTGAGCTGGAAATATAATTTTCTATTTATGCTTCTAATGTAAATCTGCCATTTCTGGTTGGCCACTCTGGCGCGAAGCCAAAGTGCTAATTTATTTCCATCTTTCCCTATTTCTTATATCAAAAGAGGTTGTTGGTTTGAATAACAAACATTCAATCGACTTGGACGTGGGATGGCAGGCAGAACAGGCATTACCTGCTTACCTTTTATTGCCTTCTTTGAATTGGCTTTTCTGGGAACAAAACCAATAAGACATGCTGTTCCTTCATCTAGTTTTGACTTGGGTTATTTATCAGAAGACATTTCCTCCCCCTCGGTTCAGCAAAGACTGGCAGTAGGGTGAAGAATTCAGCCTGGAACTCGGCTTCTGACCTAATACTGTCATAGGTTATTGTTCCACCAGGTCACATAGGACTTCATTGTCCTTAAGCTGCTGGCTTGGCCTCATAATTGTTTCTGATTCTAAGAGATGCTGCTGCTGACACACTTGTCACCTGTGGGGTGGCAGTATGCTGGGATAGAATGCACACAGTTCCAGCCCTTCCAGTGTTTGCAGTGTTTCTCCCCTGCCCAGCTCCCTTTACTGTCTTATACAGTAATTGGCCTAATAAAAGGCAGCAACAAGAATTTATTACACCTTGGGCAGTACTTGAAACAGACTTTATTCTCAGGAACAGCAGTTATGTCTACTTGCTGCTGTATATTTTGATATTTCATTTAAATACTTAGAATATATTCAAAGTCAAATTGCTAATCACTCAATTTCCCTGCTGCTGTCCTGGTTCCCCAGGTGGCCTCTTACAATACTCCATGTAAACACTGTATTTGGAAGGATACATAGATCAGCATCCCTAGAGTCACATGATCACCATAAATCTGTGAAAATAGCATGACTTAAAAATAAAAGTCTCTTAGTACTCTGCCAACAGGCTTTGGCATAATCTTGGCAATCACTTAGATATTTCTTTCTGTTCTTGCAGTTATTTTTTCCCAGGTGGAAAATAGTCTCATATTTTGCAGACGTTGTCCAAGCTAGTGACCATCAATCCATCTTCCTGGGCTACTAAAGTCATCATCTGACTGTGTTTGGTCCACACAAAATCAGTGTGAAACTGTTGGTTAGTTGCTCCTCGCATCTTAAGAAATGGGCAATAGAAATTCCTGATATCATTTATGCAGGAATTTTTATTCTTTAAATCTTCCAGTGTTAAAGCAACAAGAAAACATTTAGAATGTCCTTTGGTGGAATCTTATTACACTTGCTATATATGTAAACTGATATTCTTTGATGCCAGCACGCTCGTTGCCCATACAGAGCAATCTCTGCACAATGAAACAAAACAAAAACCAAACAGGACAAAACTCAAATGTCAGTCTTTGCTGATTCGAATTAGATACATTAACAGATTGTCTGGTAACATAAAATTGGCAATAATACAAAAAATCTACATATTACAGTATTTCAAGAAAAATAACTTCATTTGAATACAAAAGGATAGATACACTTTCTCTTTCCTCTAGCCACTCTTGAGAAGTGGGTGTGAACCGGCACTGGGGTCTCAGTGCTGCTAAAATATACAGGGGTATGACTGGCTTGCGCTTTTGGAGGGGGTCTGTTACACGTGTGTATCACTAACATCGGACAAAGAAATCTTTCAACCAACAAGGGTTACAGAGCAACTTTCACTAAAGCACAGGTTGGAAGGGACTGGGGAAGGGGGGGAGCTGAAGCAGGCCAATATGGCAGCTTGTAACAGATTTCCTTATACCCACAATGCACCTGACAGCAAAGAATGCTTCTATTTGGTTGGTCCACACACTGGGCAGAGCGGTACTAGGGTGCACCACGGTAGAGTAGCGAATGTTTTTTATTTTTTTAGGTTGGTTGATCAGTTTGTTTGTTTTTTTCTTTCCTTTTGGGGGCGCTCTCACAGCCTTTCCAATCCGCAATCGACTTTGCAGCTGGCAATGAGATTTGCAATGATATTAGTAACAGCTGCCAATTCCTCTGGAGTCAGTGATGAACAGTCTTGACTCCGATGTGGTGTCCGGGTCTGAGAGATATGGCTTAGTTCAGTTAGGCCCTCTTCGTTTGTACGCTGTATTGGAGTGGGTGTGCGTGTTTTCTCTGTAAGTAGCAATCGCTTGGGTTGTGTTTGCTTCCCCACAGCACAGGCCTGTCGGAGGGCTTCTGTGACCCCCTAGAACACCAGGGGACTGGCTGTCCCCAGAAGCAGGGTCAGCAGCAGCAGTGCTGGGGAGCCCCGCAGGGGTGCTCCCTGGCCGGAGTCGGAGCTACAGCTGCCAGCTTCTTCGCACCGTGGCTTCTCACAGAGGATGCCAGTGTAGGCGGCCGGGCACAGGCAGCGCACATTGTTGTGGCAGGTCCCTCCATTCTGGCAGTGCAGAAGCTCATTGTCGCAGACATTAGCTGCAGAACGAGGGGAGGGATGGGGAGGGGAAGAGAAGCAGAATCAATTTAAGTTCATCTGGAACATCATGTTTTCAGCTTTAAAAAAGAAATTCTCTATCGATCTCGTGTCCCCCCCCCCTTCCCTCCACAAACTAAGCCTGTGACTCCAATTTCCAAACAAATGTAGTTGGCTGCCTTTGTTTTGATCGTATTAGGCTTTTCCACACAGTGCTTTCTTTCTTTCTTTCTTTCTTTCTTTCTTTCTTTCTTTCTTTCTTTCTTTCTTTCTTTCTTTCTTTTTCCTTCCTTCCTTCCTTCCTTCCTTCCTTCCTTCCTTCCTTCCTTTCTTTCTTTCCCTTTTTTTTTCTCCCTTGCAATTTTGGTTATTCTCCAGCTCAGGCTATGGAATTCTAAGTTCTGCAATGCTCCTGGTTTGGAAATTCTTATGTACCTGGGACCTGTTGTGACCTCCTAGTTTTTAAAGGACAAGTGCCTGATATGAGAATGCAGAACCTTGAAGTCAGATGAGTGGTCTTTAAAATGCACAGCAGTGTTGCTAAAATGACCCACAACCTCTAAGGTCAGGACATCCATCGTCCCTGCACCAATTCTAGCCTTTTCGTGCATGCAAAGAGGCCACAGGGAAGCAGGGGGATGCAGGCTTGGGATGTGAAGAGAGTAGCATGCTCCAGGCAGGTGACAGCCAGATGGGAAGAGGGAAAGCTTGTTTCGTGGGAGGCATGTGAGGAAGAGCAGTCACATTTGTCCCTGACAGTCCATTAGGGTTTTTATTGCTTTGTAAATTTGGGAAGTAGAGCCCAAGGTTACCTTGATTTGGGAACAGTAATAAATGCAACGGTGAAACCCTGATTACCACAATTTCATTACATCCATCAAAGAATAGAAGCAGGCTGGGAAATGAAGCAGCAGCTCATGGCTGAAATTCACTTGCAGCCTCTGTCACAGAACTTTCACCTCTAATAATTTCTCATATCTTCAAAATTCTGTTATCCTCATTAATTCAATGTCTTGTATTCTCTTAGATAATCAAGGTTTCACTGATTTAGCAGAATGTTAAATAGAACCCAGGGAAATTAACACAACAACAAAGAATAAGAGAGCCAAGAACGAACGCTTTCCAGCAACGTATGCTGCTTAAGCACGTAACACATAGACCACTCTGGACAGAGGGCGGGGCACAGAGCAGAAAAAGGAGCTTTTTATAAATTAGAAGAGATTTCATTCAAATCAAATGTCATGGCCCAATTTCTCCAAAGATGTCACATGGATTCACACACACACACACACACACACACACACACACACACACACACAGACACCACAATGGTACTATTAAACATAAAACATTTTTACCAAGTAATTCCCACCTTCCAAGTAGTAACTCAGTAGATAGCATTTGCTTTGTCCATTAATCATACTCAATACTCATGTAGTCTTCAAGAGGGTCTTTGTTGAGGAAAGGTGGCACTGAGCATCCACAGAGCTAATAGTAAAGTGCCCAAACAGGGACCCCAAGGAGACATAGAGGACAGGTACACAGCACATTGGTACAATTAGCACTAGTCAGTCATTCATGTTTGAAATGCTGATACATGGGGCAGTGTCACAAAGCATACAAGATGCCTTTCGGTGGGTGGCTTAGGCTGAACCCAAATTATGGTGTTTTGTCAGTCATTATTTTGACATGTCAAGAACTGTACCTTTAAAGCAAAAATCCCAAGCATAGGGTGATTAGCTTCTTGGACAAAACAGATAAAAATCCTTTTTAAAAAAATGTCCAGTTGGAAAGTATGCAAAGGTATTTGGGATTTCATTTTGCTTACACTTCAAGAAATATCTGTTTAATTGGGGCAACATGGAATACACAGATCCAAGTAACCATTTCCATTTAAAGTTAAAGATTCTGATCATTTCTTGTTGTAGACAGAAGATTGCAGAATAGGATATTTCCTTTAATTTGGGCCCTAGACGTAGGGAAATATCTGTTCCATCAATATCGATAATTGCTTGCCTTGAATAATTGAGAAGAAATCAATAGTTAATTAAATATCACTCCCCTCTTATTTTGCAAAGCTATTTTTCTTCCTCTTGGACTTGAATGTAAAGCAGCTGTTGAGCAGAGGTTTCTTTTTTCTGAGAAGCCAGTGATTAAGTTAAAATTCAATACCTTCCCTACATATAAATAATCTGCTACTTGATTTGGATGGTTGTGAGAAATTTAATAAATACACAAGGAACAGATGTAGTCTGGGATTAATCAGCTCATGGACTGGGGGCATATACCTTGGGTAATATATAAACAGGAAAAAATGGAACCTAGCATACATTTCATTATATTAGAATTCACAAAAAACATGTTACATTTGGGGTCTTGATGGTATCCAACCTATTAAAATTCAACAAGAACAGGATTTTACTGTGCATACAGTACCATCTAATGGCTGGAATCACATGCTAGAAATATATTTAAGTCTAACTGCAGTTCTTACCTGATGCTTATAACCTCACGCTCCATCTTCATGTCATTTAGTACCAAAATTCTGTTGGTTAATGGACAAACTAGATGGTTAAGTATCAATGAGCTCTTCTTCAGCATGTAAAACCTTGTACTAAACACCATGGAGACAAATAAAAACAAATACAAAGCATGGTCTCTGTTCTCATAGAATTCTAATTTACTTAAGGAGGCAAAATACATTCTAGAAGTGATCTAGTGTTGATTTTATTAAAACATCCTTATTAGTTTCAACCACCTCAGTCATTTGCTGGTGCCTAGCATCCTGCAATGGTTTGTGGTTATCACTCTAACTGCCATAAAGGAGTTCACAATTTGGTGGAAAATCAATGAACACAATCAGAGATATTCAGACAAGGTATGAAAAGACCCAAAAGTAAGTATTTGCAAAGTGTTAGGTGAACACAAATGATAGTGTCCATATTTTGGAGATTAGAAAAAATGATAGAAAAGGGGTTGTATTTGAACAAAGGTGCCCACAAGGCAGATACTGATCAAAGAACCCTCCAGATGGAGAGAATTGTGAGTTAAAACAAAGAGATGTAAAAGGGCCATCCAGGTTCTTAAGAAGTTATCATTGAACACTGATTCATCTCTATGATTTTGCAGTAAAAACTTTACTGATTGTCTGCTGGATTCCACCAACTATGGTTCCCAGAGGGAACAGAGAAGGAAAGAGGGGTATGTGAAGATATTTCCCTCTTCCTACTTAACGGCTTGTCTTAACAGTACTGCCCAGCAATGGGTCTTCATCTCAGTTTTCCCTTGCTAATCTTTATTAAGAACCAGCTCCCCACTGAGCCTTGGAGATTTCTGCACCATCCTGGTAGCATATCTCCAAGGGACTACTACAGGTGTAGACAAGCATCATCCCTTTCTTTAGAGATGTAGTTCTGAGGTATATGAAGTCTCTTATCCACACTATTAGTTTCTGGAAAGCCCGTCTTCTTTGTTGTAATTTCTCATCCCCTAAGTGATAGCTACTACCTGCATGAGCAGTTTCTGTCCAAGAGTTACTTTGGTGCCATGTTCTCATTTTTAGTCTTCCAATACTTCTTATCCCATTTCCTTTCATAATGTTTCTCTGTTGAAATACCTAGAATAGCTTGCTTTCTGACAGGAGCTTGACTAAGAGATACAACTTTTATCTCAGTGAATGATGAGTGGGCTATGTTTGGAAGGCTGGATGCCTATAGGAGAAAGGAGACTAGAATTCAGGCTGCGTTTGTTTTATATATACACTGCAGAGTTTTGGGAATGGGCAATGGGAAGCTGACAAAGATAAATGAGTCATCTGTAGTTTTGAAGGAAAAATAAAGATAAAGCTAGACAACGATAGACGGGTGAAAAGGAGACCAGACCCTCAACAGAATGGGCAGGCTGGGGCTAGTTTGGAGCATGGAGTGGAGAAGAAAGGGGACATCTGAAGGCAGTTTTTACAACAAGTTTGAGTGATTTTAAGGTCACATTTGAGTATGTGAATAAGTCACAAAGAAATTTATTTAAGAAAAGCACTAAGAAAGAAAGTTAGAAAAGACAATGAATTTTTTGGACTTATTGACTTTGAAGTGTCTGTAAATTCTTCTAGAATATTTTTTAATTAGTTGGGAAAACTACTTCAAGGTTCAGGGGGGTAGTTCATTATGGAGATGTAGCTGCAGAACACGGGTGGTAAAGGTCATTGTTGTCAAACACAAAGTACACAATCTCATGGTGGGAGTGCCAGAGTCTCAGCCATATGCAGAGAAAGCAACACCATGAAGAATAGTTAGAAGAAAACTGTCAATAAAATGCAGTGGTCACATAACTAGGAAAATAAACATAAAAATACTATCTTGTTATGGAAGAACATTTATGAATTAACATATTAAGTGGAAGAGTAGGAGAAGAAGGGCACTTTGAATTTGGCAGAGCAAATGTGTAACTAAGTCTGGACTGACTGAATCAGTCAAAAAGGGTTTGGGGATGATCATAAAAAGCACTGGGAAAATTGGAGGAAATAATAATTTATGGAAGTCCTTGACCATTAGTTAGTTGATAGGAGTAGGTCCCAGTATTTTGGAGATTATGACTCCCAGAGGATATTAGGCAGTGACTAGAATTATTTATTTATTTAGTTTTGAATGTCACAACTGGGTAGGTTTAGAATGCCATGGATGTGTAGAAGCCGTGGATGCTGCTCAGTATCCTACAATGGCTTGGACAGCTTCCTTTTCCACCAACAAGGAGTTATTCCTCAATTAATGTAAAGGTAAAATAATGATGTTCTGGGTCAGAATATAGTCAGTCATTTCAGTGAAAGTAAACAGCTCTCCTTGATGTACACTGGGAAAAAGAGCAGGAAGTAGGTTTGTCCATTCTAGATCAAAATAACATCAAGTTTTCAGATGCACAGCCATTGGAAATGAAAGAAACTGCAAGTAAGTAGGTCAAAAATACTAGTGTAGATTGCTCTAAGAGGACCCACAAGTATCCTTGTCAT